TTTGGCATTTACTGAATGGCAATACTTCCATGAAGTGGCATAGTAGAATGTCATTAGGCCATTAGCACACAGATTATTAACAATTTTAGTTCCCTCATATCACCACCATCTCAGAAAACTGGGCCTATTTTCATTGTTGAGGAAGTTCACCTATTCTTTTAACCACAGTTTCATAAAAGGGCTCCACCCGAATTACCCACAAAGGCCTAGAAAATGTAAACACCTTAAAAAGATGCTAGGTTTATTGTCCTGACAGTAACTTATCTGAATGTAAATACTACAAATTCTAATTTCAGAGGAGAATAAACTTCACATACGATGTGACATCATCCACAGCATCAGAAACCCCTTTACTTCTTAAATGAAGAAAAAAAATTCTCTACAAAAACAGTTCTTGAAAGTATTCTATAAAAATAATTTACTAAAAAATACTTAGCTTAATGTTTATTCTAAATATTAATACAATTATTAGTCCTGCTTAATGTACAACATAATAATCTATTTTAGCCTATACATGAGTACCAACAGTGAGAAGTCATTTAATATTTTTTTCCCCAATTACTTTCTATGTTGTTGTTAAGTGTTGCTGAGTCAGTTCCGACTCATAGCAATCTTGCATAGGTTTTCTGAGACAAGGCTCGCGGGTTTAAAATGACAACCCTGTGATTAACAGTCCAGTGTTTATCCCATAGCACCACATTACTTCCTGTAGTATATTATAAAAAGCCTCTAAGATAAAGTTACCAAAAAATTAATGAAACTTTAAACATACGTTTCTCTTTGTGTTTTAATAATACAAGAAAACACAACTGAACAAGCAGTTTTATTTTCTTCCACTAAAGGAAAATATAGTAATTAATTCTCAACAATGAATCATCTGTAAAACACTTATTTCCCCAAACTGCTGTATAATTAATCCCCTCATCAATCCACTTTATAGAGAGCAATCAAAGCCTGAGTCTAACGGTTACAAAGGATTTCAAATAATAATCACTTGTGGACCCCATTTCACATTAACTGTGAAAGTAAATTTATAAAGTCAGATGTTCAAACTCACTAAAAGGAATGGAATATCTCTTTAAGAAGAGTTGGTACTATGTAGAAAGAAAATGTTCCAGTGTAGCAGCTCCAGTTGAATTTGAGACTCTAGAACTGGGTAATTCTCCACTAAAGTGCCATAAACCAAATTACGACTCACTCTGAAGACAAAAAAGAATAAAAACAACAAGGAAACCTATCCTGTGTAAAAGTCAATTTCCTAGGGAATAAGAACTATAGATTTTTAACTGTATTTCACCACCATTGACACTGAAACAGATGTCATTAATCTGCTAAATCAAAAAAGACAGTGTTTAAAATCCCCTTAAATAGTTCAGATTTTTCTTCACTGAAATACCTTAGTAAATAAAATACAATACAAACATTCTTTAAAATTTTCTCAATTAACACAGTATCACAATGTTCTAACAGCATAGCAAAAAAGTTAAGCATAATAAATTCTTAAAGTTATATAAATTATTTTTAAATAACGTTAAAAAAAATGTGGATAACCAAACTACTTCAATTTCTATGGCAGGACTTAAAATCCTTATACAGACTCAGAAGCTGCAGATACATATCCTAATTAAAAATGGGAACTTGTTCTTCCTTCTCTGTATTCAAAGTTTTATTTCTAACATTGGGCTCCTTACTCCACTCTAACTACCCATATTCCAGAAACCTGCTACAGAGATCAATTTATAAGCAGGAAAAACAAATTTCCGTGTTAGTCTTGTTGTTATGTGCCATGAAGTTGGTTCTGACTCATAGCGACCCTGTATAAGGTTTCCGAGGCTGTAAATCTTTACGGGAGCAGAAAGCCTCATCTTTCTCCCGTGAAACAGCTGGTGGTTTTGATCTGCTGATCGTGAGATTAAGCAGCCCAATTCGTAGCCACTACGCTACTGTTGCTGTTAAGTACCATGGAGTCAGTTCTGACTCATAGTGACCCTACACAGGGTTTCTGAGGCTGCAAATCTTTACGGGAGCAGAAAGCCTTACATCTTTCTCCTACAGAACACCTGGTGGTTTTGAAATGCCGACCTTGCGGTTAGCAGCCCAATTCGTAACCACTATACTACTTACACTACTATGAGTCTTCAAATTGGTTCTCAAAAAAAAAAAAAAAAAAAAAATCTACCTCTACATTTCCTACCCTCACCCAATGTGATCTCAATCTCATTTTCTGACATTCTCAAGTCCCAATCCTTTTGCTATTCTCTTACATTTATCTCACTCACTACTAATGAAAAAAGATCAAGCCTACCTTATGTCTCTCTCTTCACTATTAAAAACCTAGGCCCAGACTACTTGGGGGTAGGAGGTGTAAGAGTAAGAATCACAAAAGCAGGCAGAGCTATGCCAACTCCTCTAAAAAAAAAAAGTTCCCTGACTCCATACTCTCAGGGCACTCAGGATTTGTTTCCTATCTATGGTGTTCCATTCTTGACTCCATTCATTTAGAAAATTCATTCTTCTTTGCCACTGTCCAGTATCTACCTTGCTTTCTTCAAAGACATCACTGCTCCTGAGAAGAAAGCAAGGAGACTTGAAACTTTCAGCTCTACTAACTGTGAATATATACTGATCTGTACTCAGTTTTCTTTCTTTCTGATCCATATCAGAAAAAGTAGCCCTTTTGGTTTAGGAAAACTAACAGCTTCCCAATTGCTTTAAGACCTGTTCTCAACCTTGCCTCACCAATCATTTCCCCTACCCAATATCATCCTTTCACTCTGCTGCCTTTTTTTCTCAACATATATTTGTGTCTAAAAAAAATAAAAGCAAAAAACTAACTTTCAGTTTTGCATCCTCTTCTAACTACTACCTTCTTCTCCTCTCAGGCAAGGTTCTAAAAGAGCAGCTATATTTGATGCCCTCAACCTCACAATTTTTTCATTTGTTATTCCTGAAAATACAATTTGATTGATAATCCTATCACACCACTCGACGGCACTTAACAACAATAACAACATCACATCACTAAAATTGTTTTTGGCGAGATGTCTAACATTCTCATAAATGTCAAATCCAATGGGCACCTCTTGCTCTTTGTTTTATTTGACTTTTCTGAAGCAGCTGGTGGAGTCCTGGTGTGGTGCTATGGAATAAGCTGTACCACAAGGTCGGTTTGAACTACACGGTCGGTGATTCAAACTCACCAGCCGCTCCTTGGAAACCCTATATAGGGTCGCTGTGATTCAGAACCAATTTGAAAGCACTTAACAAAAACAACAATGGCAGATGGTAGTATGATTCACTATTTTTCTTTTTTGCTAAGTATTGAAATATTGGTGCTCCCAATGAAACTATCTTGAGCTTTCTTTTCATTTTTACACCCTCTTTCCATGGCATCAACTATTATCCATAAGCTGATCATTCCCAAAATCTTATTTGTAGCCAAGAGTAAATACGCTCTAGACCTAAAATTCAACTGTCTATATGTATCTATGGGAGTGTGGTGACTTTATACAGTAAGTACTGGACTACAAACCACACGGTCCAAGGTTCAATCTTGCCAATCGCTCTTATGGAGAAAAGATATGGCTTTATGCTCCTGTGAAGATTTAAAGCCTAAGAAACCCTGTATAGTAACTATGCATCTGAATTGACTCAATGGCACTTTTACAACAACAATAAATGTGTCTATCTATGCACTATATCCCCATCTTTTTGAGTTCAGAACTAAACTCATAATCTTTCTTCAAAGGTCTTGCTCAAATTCTAGTTACCTTATATGCAGCTAAAATTTGAAGATTACTAAGTCTCCTCCCTAGGTAAATAATTTACAATGATTTATTACAATGAGTAGGAGGTAAGCCAATAAATCTCCTCACTTTTCCTCACATTGCTAAAATGGGAATAATCTTCCTTTACCCCCACCTCATCTACTTGACCAAAAAATCAGTGAGATATATGAAACGATATGCTAAACTGCTTGATTAATGTGGAAGAAGTTAAAATTCTTCCTGGATGGTTGGAGGAGGGCAAAAATTAAACATTATATCTGCTACAAACTCAAGAACAATGCGGTAGGTCTTGATGGCTATTTGTCTCACCCATGAAAACTTTAGCCAGAAGTTAAAATTCCCATTGGACTGGGGACTGGCAATACATTTTAGAATTTAAATGAAAGGCTTCAAGATTCTGCTAATGTCCACAGAGGGCTATTTGCGCTAATGAAGTTGTTTGCACTATAATGATATTAATGTTTCTGTAAGGATAATTGTTGTTGTTAAGCACCATGGAGTTGGTTCCGACTCACAGTGACCCCGCACAGGGTTTCTGAGGCTGTAAATCTTTCTCCCGCGAAATGGCTGGTAGTTTCGAACTGCCGAACTTGAGGTTAGCAGCCAAATTCGTAACCACTACACTACCAGAGCTCCTTTGTAATAATAATAGCAATGATAAAAAATATACAAATGAGTGCCTACCTGTTATGATCAAAATAAAATAATGAAGCACTATAATGATGTTGTTGTTATTAAGTGCCATCGAATCAGTTCTGACTCATAGTGACCCTGCATAGTTTCCATGGAGTGGCTGGTAGATTTGAAACCCCAACTTTGTGGTTATCAATCCAGTGCTCATCTTTTAGGGCTACCCCAGGACTCCACCAATAAAAGACTCTATAAAAGAAAAGTCTGTTCTTGCCCTTGGCACATTTACTTTCTAGTTGAAAGATGCTAAATTCACACAAACACTGTTACACAAATGCATGTAAATGCCATCTGTGGAATTAGACAAAATTCATAATGTAAAATAAAAAACAACATTCAGAACTTAAGAATAAAGAAAAAGGAAATAGAAAACAAACTATAATCACAACTAATTCCAGAGAAAATAGTTTTATACTTTCAATTTCAATGTCACTGATAAAATACGTAGCTTTTATATTTTATACAAAGAAAATGCTGCAAAAAGTTAAACTCTACCTAACTTTACACTACACACTTAATTACCTTTACTTGGGACCGACTTTTTCACTGAGGCTACATGATCTTCAGAAATTGCGAGCCGCCTCAAAACATCAGCCAAGGCTGCCTTCAGCACAGTGATTTCATCTTCTTGTTGTTGAACTCGTAACTCAAGAGCTGATAGGCGATCCTGAACATCAGAAGTACTTGCAGCAGAAATACTATCATCTATTAAAATTAAAAACAAAACACAAAAACAAACAAAAAGTTATTTTAAACTGCTTGAGAAAGAATCCAATGACAAATCACAAAACTATACCAGACTAGACTTTTTTTTAAAAGATGAGAAAAATTGAGGCTGGGGGTGGGGAGAGGATCTCTTACTTTTACAGAGATTAAGTCTGTAAAGTTTTACAGCTATCTGAAAGTTTTTAAATAATAAAAACTAATATATCTGACTTCTGGTGTAACCATGGCCCTTAACAATATTACCAACCTATCACAGCGGCTGCCTCAAGCTTGTAGACAAATGTGTAGGATCAAGAATTCACAGTATGATGAAGAGTCATAAGGATATTGTTGCCACACACTTAGGTTTTGATGACTTTGTCAACATGGTATTGGAAGATGTCATTGAGTTTGAAATCATACCAGAAGAAAGAAGGATTACTAAATTAGATCAGATTTTGCTAAATGGAAATAATATAAAAATGCTGGTTCCTAGAAAAGAAAGACCTTAAGTATAAGTGGATTTTCTTCACTTGGACTAGCATCTGTTTTATTTTACAAAATCAACAGAATGGATTTTTTCTATTTTGTTGTTGGTTTTTGTTTTTTTAACTTTCAAATCCTGATGTTCTATAATGCTGTTTCCCTTTAAAGGGAAATGCTTTGAATATGCATTGTAGATTTATAAGTTAATTATGACTGTCATGGAGAAAAATGGTAAACAGTTTGCTGTTTGAAGACTAAAATAAAGGTGCTTTTGGTTAACTGTAAAAAACAAACAAAAGAACTAACACATCTGATAAATAATTAAAATAATGAAAAATTTCTCCATGCTCAAGTTTTCTGTATTTTTACATCATCACTTTAGTTTTCTTGTCAAAATGTTCCCTAAACATATTACTCTATGTTGTTGTTGTTATGTGCCATGGAGTCCTTTCCAACTCATAGCAACCCTGTACAGGGTTTCTGAGGCTATAAATCTTTACGGGAGCAGAAAGCCTCATCTTTCTCCCACAGAACAGCTGGTAGTTTCGAACTGCTGACCTTGAGGTTAGCAGCCCGATTCATAACCATTACGCTACCAGAACTCCTTATATTACTCTATAGATATCTGGAAACTTTTAAGAGAGAAAACTATTTAATGTACCATTTCTTAAATACTACATTTTTGTCAAACTTCTCTATGAAAAGAAAAAGGAGTCCATAACGTTTCAGTTTTGCTGTATCAAATGAGGAACCACAACCTTCTATAAAGCATGCTTTATACTCACTATTTAAAAACAACAACAACAAAACACAAAGACAATGCTGCTGCTGCTGCTGCTTTTAGGCGCCATAGAGTCTGCTCTGACTTATAGTCACCCTCTGCACTGAAGAGCAGAACACAGCTTCATCCTTACAATTGTGCTTTTCACTTGAGTAAACTGTTGCAGCCACTATGTCAATCCATCTCATTGGGGTCTTTCCCCTCTTGTTGCTGTGCAATTATCACTGGTGGCAAAGTAGGATTCGAACTAGACTGCTGTTCACAATACCAGTAGTTCAAACCCACCAGTGGTTCCTTGGCAGAAAGATAAGGCTTTCTGCTCTGATCTTTATCAGAGCCTTGGAAACTCTATACAAGGTCCCTATGGGTCAAAATCCCTATGGGTCAAAATCATTCAGCAAACTGATGCAACACTGGAGGCACTCACTCACCTAGGCCAAGAAATCTGGAAGACAGCTACCTGGCCAACTAATTGGAAGAGATGCATATTTGTGCCCATTCCAAAGAGAAGTGACCCATCAGAACATGGAAATCACCAGACAATTTCTTTAATTATCACATGAGAGTAAAATTTTGCTAGAGATACTTTTTAAAATGGCAACAGGACACTGACAGGGAACTGCCAGAGCTTCTAGCCAGATTCAGACAATGATGTGAAACAAGGGACATCACTGCTGATGTAAGGTGGATCTTGGCCAAAAGCAGAGAATACCATAAAGATGTTTACCGACATCTGTACCAATCAATTCTTTGCGTAATCCTTGCATTTTCTTTGGACACACCCAGTATTATTGAATATTTTGCCCACAGAATCCTTCAATATTGCAATTGAATGCTTGAATTTTTAATTTCTTTAACTTTTGAATGCTTGACTAAGTCTTCTTGAGCTGTCCTTAGAAATCTTCTGATCAGCTCTTTTACTTCATCATTTCTTCCACTGACTTGAGCTATTCTACATTCAAGAGTAAGTTTCAGAGTCTCTTCTGGCATCCATTTTGGTCTTTTCTTTCTTTTTTGTATTTTTAACGACTTTTTGCTTTCTTCGTATGTGCAATGTCCTTGATGTCATCCCACAACTCATTAGGTCTTCAGTGATTAATCTTCGATGTGCCAAATCTATTTTGACATGCTTTCTAAATTGAGGTGGGATATACTCAAGATTATACTTTGGCTCTTGTGGACTTGATTTCATTTTCTTTCGCTTCAACTAGAACTTACACTGTAATTGATTGCCTGTTGCACAGCTGATTCCTGACCTTATTCTGACCGCTGATGATTAAGCTTCTCCGCCTTCTCTTTCATCAGATAGTTGATTTGATTCCTATGCATTCCATCAGGAGAGGTCCACGTATACACCAAATCAAAAACAACCTACCTCATTGTTGTCAAGTTGATTCCAACTGAATAAGGATCCTTATAGACAGAATAGAACTGCCGAGGGTTTCCAAGGCTGTAAATCTTTACGGAAGTAGATTGCTGCATCTTTTCCACAAAGAGCAGCTAGTGGGTTTGAACCACCTACCTTTTGGTTAGTCATTCAATGCCTTCCCTACAGCACTACTGGGGTTCCTTTCTATGTGTACAGTCACTGTTTATGTTGTTGAAAAAGGTATTTCCAATGAATAGGTCATTGGTCTTGTAAAACATTTCTATCATACAAAAAAATTCTATCTCTAGCATCATTTCTATCAACAAGGCCATAATTTATAACTACTGAGCCTCTGTTTCCAACTTACTCCTTCAAATCACCAGTAATTCTCAATGCATCTTGACTACCGTTGCTGTTAGGTGCCATCGAGTCGGCACCGACACACAGCAACCTTATGCAGAGCAGAACGAAACAATGTCCAATCCTGGACCAACCTCACTACTATTGCCATGCTTGAGTCCATCGATGCTGTCACCTCATCTTGTTGGGGGACTTCCTCTTTTTCTCCAACCCTCCACCTTACCAAACATGATATCCTTTTCCAGCGACTGGTCCCTCCTGACAGTATGTCCAAAGTATGAGAGACTAAGTTTGGCCATCTTGGCCTCTAAGGAGTACTCTGGCTGCACTTCCTCCAAAACGGATCTATTGGTTCTTTTGGCAGCCCATGGAACTTTCAATACTCTCCTCCAACACCATTAACTCAAAGGCATCAATTCTTCTACGATCTTCCTTATTCACTGTCCAGCTTTCGCATCCATATGAGGTTATTGAAAATACCATCGCTTGGGTCAGGCACATCTTAGTCCTCAAACTGACATCTTTGCTCTTCAACACTTTAAAAACTTCCTGTGCAGCAGATTTGCCTAATGCAATACGTCGTCTGATCTTTTGACTGCTGCTTTCGTGAGTGTTGATAGTTGATCCAAGAAGAATGAAGTCCTTGACAACTTCAATCTTTTCTCCACTGATAACAATGTTATTTACTGGTCCAGAGGTGACGATTTTTGTTTTCTTTATACTGAGATGTAATCCATATAGAAGGCTGTGCTCTTTGATCTTCATCAGTAAATGTTTTAAGTCCTCTTCACTTTCAGCAAGCAAGGTTGTGTCATCTGCACATAGCAGGCTGTGAATGAGTCTTCCTCCAATCCTGATGCCACATTTTTCTTCACAGAACCCAGCTTCTCATATTATTTGCTCAGCATACAGGTTGAATAAGTATGGTGAAAGAATACAACCCTGTCACACACCTTTCTTAATTTTAAAACATTCAGTGTTCCCATGTTCTGTTCGAACAACTGCTTCTTGGTCCAAGTACAGATTCCTCACGAGTACAATTAAGTGTTCCGGAATACTCATAACTTTGTAGTGTTGTCCATAGCTTGTCATGATCCACACAATCGAAAGCCTTTGCATAGGGGAATTTGTAGGAGAATTAAGAAATCCATTGCTTTCTAATTCAAGACGCTCAGCTATTCCTAGAGCCGCCATCTTGGGAGAGAACAAGTCAGGGAAGGATCAGAACAGCCACAAATGCCTGACAGAACCGAGGAGATACAGCTGTGGACATTCATTTTTTTGGTATCTCGTTGACTGCACACCTCCATTCTGGTAACTAGAGGGGATACCTGAGCGAATGGATACCCCACCCCCACCCCTGGAAGGTTCTACTACGCATGCGCACAGATCTCGAAATTTAAAGTGACAGTTTCGACATAAAACCAAACGGCCACCACTCGTCTGTCATACTGTGGTGGCTTGTGGGTTGCTGTGATTCTGAGGGTTATGCCACCGGTATTTTAAATAACCAGCAGGGTCACCCATGGTGGACAGGTTTCAGATGAGCTACTAGACAAAGACAGACTAGAAAGAAAGAGTGACAAACTACTTCCGAATCTTTAGTCACTGAAAACCTTATGAATAGCAGAGAAAATTCTAACTATATGTCTGATCAATTTCAGACTGCAGAAGTTTTTTTAATGAAGAACTATCTTCAGTTGTGTTAATGATGGTAAAACAGTTTGGAAAAGGTTGTCGAGAAACTGTCAAAACTTGAAGAAATTAATGTCACTGAATTGTAAATGAAGAAATTGCTGACATGGTATATGTCTTCTTGTATATATTGTCACATATTTAAAAAATAGGGAGGGTGGTCTATTAACTAAAATTTGGAAAGGTCTACAGGACAATTTAAGTGGAATAAGCAAATTTCAAAACAATACGCACTGAATAATCTATTAAAACTCAAACACGCACCAAAACCAAACGTCTATAGTATAAAACAAAAAAACATACCCAAAA